CTTTACCCCTGTCAGAGCAAAAGTAACAATTTCTTTTGAAAAACTAACTAATGAACCATCCTAATTTGAAGAAAAAAAGTAATGTTGAAAAGCTGTTAAAATCGAAAACTGTGCACCTTGTCATATGAAGGCCCGTTCTGGTCAAAATCTTGACAATAAAATTGCACCACAAGTCAGTTTTAATCCAACTGCAGCAAATATTATGGACATGTTGTGTATTTTTGTCATCACTAAACAATACTTTTTTCAGCGTGTTAGTAATTATTTTTAGTAACAAGAGTTATTTTTGTTTTAATTATACGAATACATTTTTCATTCATGCCATGAATTATTTTTCAGTGGTACTTCAAATTATTTTTCTAATGTGTACCTAGAATTATTTTTTAATTGGCCCGAGAATTATTTTTCGCGGTATTGCGAATTTATCTTTTGGTCTACAATGCATTGAGGGCCTTGCATTTGAAGTGGACTGATTCGAGTCTTTGACTTCCTTGGGCGACCATTTTCAAAACTTTGCAAGTGGAGGAGTGCTTTCAAAGAGAATGCCAAGGCGAAACATTGTCAGGGAAAGAAACGAAAGAGGTTTTCATCTTTCTTACGCGATTTTCATCTTTGTTTCGCGATACCGCGAAAAATAATTGTCAGCACGATGAAAAAATAATTCTCAATACTTGAATTAAAAATAATTCGCAGTACCACTAAAAAAATAGTTTGTGGTACGCATGAAACATTTATTGACTGTAAATCAAGAAACCAACCCTAGAATGTCGCCCGGCTGGGCGTCCTGGCCCCGTTGTTCAAAATCAACCGGATAAATCACTATCCAGCGGATAAGTATTGGGGAACCCAATTGTGCTATGCAGTGGATAGAAATTTATCCGGTGAATAGCGCTATCCACCTTTTAAAACAACTGGAGCCTGGACATTATTCTCAGTCGCCCGAGGCCAAGTCTTGCGCCCTTAGAGCACACTCCTTGAGTCTTTGTCCTCATCTACACCGTAAGCTTACTTTTCCTTTCTTTGCTGACGAAGTATCTTTCTTCTGCTTGTGCAATCCAACCTGACTTGTACGTAATTCGAAGTTGCAGCCTATAAAACTCAAACAATTTTTCGGGACGGGCACGGAATACGGGAAAGTTAAAAAAACAAGGCAATTTTTGACTCCCAAGAATACGAAAGGAATGCGTGGCTGACTACGTTATCCCGCATAAAAAGAACAACAAAAACCGGAAGCTAAGGGGAGGGGGTGGTGTCCGGGCTGTTATTGTATTGATTTATTGATTGCGATTTCCAATGCTGCAGTAGCTAAGAGTGTGTGCATGTGAGAGTCTATCTGGTCAAAATGTTTCACTAACCATTTCAATAACTTAGAACCTTTTTGGACACTTAAGAGAGTGTCTCTGTAAGAGCGGTCCGGCCGATTTTGCTTGAGACACAGATTTAGCTCATTTCTTGTGTGTTGTAAGACATTCATGTACCTTTACTAAAACCACAATCCGTTCGATCGGATCTCTTTATTTTTCAGAGTTTTACGGAAATTAAATTTCACTCGATCGAAGGCCTGTCGTGACAATTTTCAAGACGTTAATTTCAGGCAACTTTGGCGGACAATTTACAACTACGGGACTCAGCAAAAAACAAATACCACAGCCATGTATACTAACTCTATCTTATCCATCGAGGCAACTTTCGTGAACATCACGTTTCAATCAAGCAAACAGGA